TCTTATTTATTTATACTGTTAAGGTCTTCATCTAATCACTTGTTTTTTACTAATGTTTTTATTCATTTTTTCTTCCATATTTTTTCAATTATGCATTCATTTATTCATTCATTTTTTACTCAATCATAAACAATTAATTAGTTAATTCATTTGTTTAGTAATGTCTTCTTTAATTCACTTCCTGAATTTGAACCAGTGACATTTTTGCTGTGAGGCGACAGTGCTAATCACTGAGCCACCATGCCGAGAAGAGTATAAACGGAGGTCAGAGCCAGCTCTGAGCTCAGCTCAGAGAGCTCAGGACTGCAGCCATACCCACTTTACCATGCAACCCACTGCATATATTTAATTGTGTGTTAATTAATGCATTCATTCATCGGTTCATTCATTCATTTGTTTAATGTTTTCCATAATTCACTTATCTGTCCATCTGTTTATTATTGTTTTTATTAATTCCCTAATTCATCTGTTTATTAATGTCTTCATTCACTCATTTATCTATGTTTATTAATGTTTTCATTAATTCATCTGTTTAATATTGTCTTCATTAATTCACTCATTCATCCATCTGTTTATTGTTTTCATTTATTTACTCATTTATCTCTTTAATGTCTTCATTAATTTATTAATCGTTATAAATCTTTTCATTAACTAACTCATTCATCTGTTTAAGAATGCATTCAATCATTCACTTATTCATTTATCTGTTTATTATTATTTTCATTAATTCACTCATTCAATTTGTATTAACATCTTTATTCATTCAGTCATTCATTCAACTGTTTATTAATATCTTCATTCATTTACTCATTTATGCATCTGTTAATTAATGTCCTCATTCATCCGTTTATTGTTTTCATTAATTCACTAATCTTGTTATTAATGTCTACATTCCTTCACTCATTCAACCATCTGTTTATTATTGTTTTCATTAATTCATCTGTTTCGCGATGTCTTTAATTTTTCATCTGATAATTAATGTCTTCATTTATTCACCCATTCATCTATCTGTTTTATTAATGTTTTCACTAATTCACTCATTCATCTGTTTATTGATGTCTTCATTCGTTTGCTCATTCATCTGATTATTAATGTCTTCATTCATTCACTTATTCATCCATCTGTTTATTAATGTTTTCATGAATACATGTTTATTAATGTTTTCACTAATTCACTCCATCTGTTTATTAATATCTTCATTAATTCACTCATTCATCCATCTATTTAAAATTGTTTTCATTAATTCACCCATTCATATGTTTATTAGTGCCTTCATTTATCCATCTGTTTATTGTTTTTATTAATTTACTTATTTACCTGTTTATTATTCATTCACTCATTCATCCATTATTACATTCATTCACTCATTCATCCATCTGTTTATTGTTGTTTTTATTAATTCACTCATTCATCTGTTTAATAATGTCCTCATCCATTCATCTATTTATTGGTATCTTAATTCAACCATCTGTTTATTGTTGTTTTCCTTAATTTACTCATTCATCTGATTAGTGATGTTTTTGTTCATTCACATATTCATCTGATTATTAATGTTTTCATTCATTCATTCATTCATTCATTCATTCATTCATTCATTCATTCATTTACTCACTCAATTATTTATCTGTTTTGTTATCTAAATTGTTTATTGATGTCTTCATTCGTTCACTTATTCTTCTGATTATTAATGTCTTCATTCATTCACTTGTTCATCCATATGTTTATAAATAATTTAATTAATTAATTTATTCATCTGTTTATTAGTGTTTTCACTAATTCCTTTATCTGTTTATTAATATAATTTTTAATATATAATATAAATGTTTTCTTTAATTTACCCATTCATCTGTTTAGTAATGTCTTCATTCATCCATCTGTTTATTGTTTTCATTAATTCACCCATTCATCTGTTTAGTGATGTATTCATTATTCACTCATTCATCTGATTATTAATGTCTTCATTCATTCATTCATTCATCTGTTTTATTAATGTTTTCACTAATGCACTTTCATCTATTTAATGATTCCTTCATTCGTTCACTCATTCTTCTGTTTATTAATGTTTTCGCCAATTCATTCATTCATCTGTTTATGATTGTCTAAAGTCACTCATTCATCTGTTTATTGTCTACATTCATTAACTTATTCATCCATCTGTTTATTGATGTTTTTGTTAATTCACTCCATCATCTGTTTATTAATGTCTTCATCCATCTGTTTATTGTATTCATTAATTCACTCATTCATCTGTTTATTGTCTACATTCATTCACCCGTCTGTTTATTGTTGTTTTCACTAACCCATTATTTATTCACTCATTCATCTGTTTATTGATGTCTTCATTCATTCATCATCTGTTTATTATTGTTCATTCATTCGCTCATTCACCTGTTTAATAATGTCTTAAACATTCATTCACTCATTCATCATCTGTTCATTGATGTTTTCATTAATTCACTCATTCATCTGTTTATTAAATGTCTGTTTATATATATATATATATATATATATATATATATATATATATATATATATATATATATATATATATATATATATATTGAAGTCAAGGAAATTCAGCTTGCGATTGGTGGAAAAAATTAAATAATAAAATACACCAAAATAATAAAGTAGTTACTTTAAAAAGTAATATGTATTAGAATAATAACTACACAAAATTTGATGAGCACACATATTATGTGATCAGGGTCTTTTGAATGATATAGTGAATTTAGACACTTTGAAATGATAAGGACACATTTTAGGTTTGATTATAATATACATGACCCCATAGATGCAGAAATAATAATAATAAGTGCCTCCGTCATGCGGTGTCAGTTCAGAAGTGCTGTGAGTGAGAGTGAGAACTGAGCTGCAGCACAATTTCAATTTCAGGAGATTGATTTATGTTTTTTCCCTCATCACGTTATCATGTTAGTTTTGGTTACCAAGGGAAGGATATTCCTTAGCAACAAACGCAAGGAGCAGCACAAAGCACTGGAGATGAATGACACCTTAATGCTTTTATTAAGCTTGTTTATTAGTTCTGCGAATATAAATAGCAGTGCATGATCAGATCTGATTCTTCCCGTCAGCAACTGGCTTGTCATTTATTTGTAAATACAATACAAATATGGAAAATTAATTCTATGGTTTCTAGTGCAACCCAGAAAGGAAGCATTGTACACTTACTAATTGTGTTGCTTCAGTTAAATACAATCAACATAATTAGTGCAAAACAACATTAATTGCAATTATGGAAAAAACATTAAACTAATATTGCAAAATATAAACATTGGATCTGCAATATTATTTAAAATAATCTTGAATATAATCATATCCAAAAACAGAAATACAATTAAAATAATAAGTAAATTACAAAATCAAAAATAGATTTAATATACAACAATAAGAACTGTGTTTTTTTTCAATTAAATCCAAACAACTTTAATACAAATCAAAATTAAAATAATGATAAAAAAAATTTACTAATAAAAAAACTAATATAATATAAAATTATTTGCTGTTTTGTTCAGTCCAGAAACATTACTGCCAAACAGCATTAAGTACAATTAAGAAAAACATAATTAACTAATACAAATTTAAATCATTTGAACTTATTAAACTAATATTCATTCATTCATTCATTCATTTATTTTATTTTTGGCTTAGTCCCTTTATTAATCAGGGGTTGCCACAGCGGAACGAACTGTCAACTTATACAGCACATGTTTTACACAGCCTTCCAGCCACATCCCAACACTTGGAGATTAATATAATATAATATAATATAATATAATATAATATAATATAATATAATATAATATAATATAATATAATATAATATAAAATATAATACACTTTCTGGCCACTTTATTAGATACACCTGTCCAACTGCCCGTTAACGCAAATTTCTAATTAGCCAATCACATGGCAGCAACTCAATGCATTTTTAGACATGCAGACATGGTCAAGATGATCGGCTGAAGTTCAAAAGGAGCATCAAAATGAGAAAGAAAGGTGATTTAAGTGACTTTGAACATGGCATAGTTGTTGGTGCCAGATGGGCTGGTGTGAGTATTTTAGAAACTGCTGACCTGCTGGGATTTTCATGCACAACCATCTCTAGGGTTTACTTTGAATGATCTGAAAAAGAGAAAATATGCAGTAAACGACAGTTCTGTGGGCACAAATGTCTTGTTGATGCCAGAGAACAGAGGAGAATGGTTTGAGCTGATAGAAAGGCAACAGTAACTCAAATGACTACTCATTACAACCGAGGTATGCATCTTGAATGTTTACAAACATGGTAATTGGTCTATAGAAAATCTTTGGGATGTTGTGAAATGGAAGATTTGCATCATGGATGTGCTATCATGTCAATATGGACCAAAATCTTTAAGGAGTATTTCCAGTACCCTGTTGAATCTATGCCACGAAGAATTAAGGCAGCTTTGAAGGCAAAAGTGGGTCCAACCTGGTACTAGTAAGGTATACCTAATAAAGTGGCCGGTGATAATATAATATAATATAATATAATATAATATAATATAATATAATATAATATAATATAATATAATATAATATAATATAATATAACTCTTTAAATCAGTATGAATCCATTCTTTTTTTCTTTTCTTCTGGATTTTTCCAGCCAATATTCCACCACATATTTACTGCCACCCTGTGCATTAACACACAAACTGCAGCATTTCCTTCCTCATCCCAAATGACCTTAAACTAAATAATCCCCAATGCAACATCAGTGTTACACTGCAGCACAATAAATAAAGTATACCCCAATGCAATGTAAAAAAAAACAACAACAAATGCACATTTAGCATCATTTCTCCCCAAAATACGCATCTTAACAAAAACTTGAGAATGCTGGAACCCCCTCAGATGTTTAATTTGTGAGGAATGCGCTGTCAGTGACCCTGATGTTTCACATGGATTTATCTGAGAGAAGTGTTGCAGAGCTGCTTCTTATCTTTGTGTTTACTCGTTCTCACTGGCTCTCAGGCCTGTGTGTGTCTGTGAGATGAACCATTTCAGAGCGACCACCAGTGAGCAAACCTCCATTAACTCCCTCAGATCCAGATCCAGGCTGCTGCATATTATACAGTATAGTGCGCTTTGAAATTCAACACAAGGTAAGTCTATTTTATAAGCAATACTATGTCCTGCAGGTGGCAAAGACAACAACGGGACGACTCAAATGCTTGCTTTAAAGTCTGTGGTTACTGGAGACGTCAAGGTGCGAAGGTTTACACTTGAAAATTGACTTCTGAAATGAAGGTGATGGTTGAAATTGGTACTCTTTTTTTGATGTTTGTGGTTTTGGTATGACTGTCACAGCTTATGTTTGTATTTCCATAACCGGGGAGTTGTTGCGTGTTATTGAATCCGCTAATGTGATTTTTTTTTTGTTGCATTTTATGAGTACCAAAGGCTTTGTGAAAGCCATAAAAGCGGCTGTTATGTTTTTCGATTGGCGAGGGATTGTAATTTGCGTTTGCTGTTTGATTGTAAATGAACGTGAATGTTTTTGTTTTTGTTTCTAGGATGGTTGGAGAGAAGCTGGTGGCTTACATGTTGGTCAGTGTGTTAGGTCTGGCACTATTGAGGTCAGTGTTTGGTCAGCATATGCCAGAAGAACCTTGCTCAGTGCAGATCCTCGTCCCTGGGCTCAAAGGTACTGTAAAAAACATAAATAAAACTACATCACAGTTCAGCAAAACTACTAATGACACATTTATTTGAACAGATGTGATGCATGTATGTGACATCTGACACAAAAAAAATTTATGATATTACATTTTTAAAATAAATGGTTTTTATACATTTCAGAGTGTCCTTGGGATGTAATTAGTCAAGTCTTTAATGTGACCTAATTTATTGGTGATTTGCAGCATCATCATCATAAAACAAAATCAAGTAATCTTACGACAATTCATAACTTTTTGGTTTAGTGGCTGATTTGTTTGAATTAGTACGATCTCATTCGTACAATTTAATATGATTTGCTCATCACCAATGATGATTAGATTGGTTTAGGGGTGGGGTTTGTTGCCATACCTCTTTTTAAAAATCATACATTTTCATACAACTGGACGAATACGTACATGTAAACAATTACAAGTGCCACTAAAATGGCAAAAAAAAAAAAAAAAGGCATAGTTACATTAAATCTGTCTGTCTGTCTGTCTGTCTGTCTGTCTGACTATACAACAGTTCTGTCTGGTTCTTGAATCTGATTGGCTGATAGCCGTGCAATACTCTGCAAATAACATCACTAGTACAGCCTTTTCACCCTTCACTCTTGTGTATTATTGTGTATTACTCCACCCACAAACAGCGGCAAGCTGAGGACACTCTACAGTTTGACAAAAATTGCTGCTGTTGGACAACATAATGAACTTTTGAGGCTTTTTTTAATGGAGAAGGTAGTCATAATTTCCCAGCATCAGATTCAGTGCATCGGCTGCCATCAGCCTGTCTGAGCAGATCAAAGAAAGTGACAATTGACGACTGTTCCCTCACAAGATGGCAACAGAGACCACATAATAAATCCTTAGGGGAGAAAAACAGCATTTTCTTAGCGTAAACTTCAAACTACAGCTTACATTCTGATTCGTTCTCTCTCTTTTTTTTATGTTTGTATTATACCACAGAAACTGATAGTGTTTGCTTTGCTCTGGCCTATATGGGGTAAATTATTGTGAAATCCCGATTGCAACTGACAAATTCTGGGATATCTCTGTAGATTGATGGCATTTCATGCCGTTCAGTATAATCTTGAAATGTGAGCAAAATCAACTTTTTTGTCATCACTTCAGACATTACGCTAGAGAATCATTAAAACACTAGCTCTAAAGTTTTTTTGTGAACTGACAACAGTTTCTGCTGTTCAAAAGAAAGTACTTCCTTATACAAAAGGTTTTTTTATACACGATTATGCTCCTGAACTGTTGTACAAACGCAATATCACATGAGTAGCAGTGCGATATGTATATGCATACAGTATGGTGGCAGGCACTAAGGCACTCGGTCTGTAGCCTCGAGCCAATGCACGCATCCCACCAGTGTTGATATATAGCCATATCGAACTGCTATCCGAGTGATATTGCTTTAATCTATAATCTATAAGGGTTATTTAATCTATAACCCTTTAAGCTATAAATTTTCCGATACAAAACAAACTATCATTATACAATAACTTGCCTAATTACCCTAACCTGCCTAGTTAACCTAATTAACCTAGTTAAGCATTTAAATGTCACTATAAGCTGCATAAAGTGTTTTGAAAAATATCTAGTAAAATATTATTTACTGTCATCATGACAAAGATAAAATAAATCAGCTATTAGAAATTAGTTATTAAAACTATTATGATTATAAATGTGTTGAAACAATCTTCTCTCAGTTAAACAGAAATTTGGGAAAAAAATAAATGGGGGTAATAATTCAGGGGGCTAATAATTCTGACTTCAACTGTATATAATATATAATAAGTCTATTTAATTTGATGCAGACACCAAAATAGGACATCATGTCTTTGTCCCCTTAACTTCTGGCAGTCTGTTCACCACAAGGGATATGAGAGTTTGAATTGTGTGCACTGAACTCTGTGATAGTATATTTATATGTATTTAGGTCATATTCTGAGAATACATAGCATTTGCATACTGTACACAGTACACGTACACACACTATATTAATGCACCAGCAGTAAAAGCTTATGTGATATTCTGAACCGCTTGATATGCAAGTATGATGGCCTAAAGCATTCCTGTTTTTCTATAGGTGAAGCAGGAGAGAAAGGAGAGAAAGGAGCACCTGGAAGGCCTGGGAGAGTCGGGCCATCAGGAGAGCAAGGTAATACTAAACCATTCTCTGAGAAGTTCATTAAATTCTTTGTGCTTTTTAATCAGTATACACTTAGTGTTAAGTCTCTTGTACTCAATAAGGCTGCACACGCTTGTTTATATAAATTTTGAATGTAATTATTTTATTGAAATGTGTTTTAAAAGTACTATCCATCAGTGTTTTGAAATATGACCTAAATTCTTTACAAATAGATATAAAAATAGGCTGTTTTGCAAAAATAATTGCACATTTTTTTAAGCAAGTAAGCAAAAAGGGAGCTGCCAAACGTACACACTTTAGGGAACCCCTGAAACTTCCCTTATCTTGCTTTTAGATAGTTGAGCTCATCTGAGCCTGTATTGACCAATCATGACTTGTGTTTATAAATGCCTTAAATGATTCCACATACTGATAAACAAGGGAGTCAGACTGAATTGACCTATTGGACCTTGATTACAGTTGCTAACTTTTGCTAACAAGATGTTTTTGATACATTTTGGACACCAAGTTCCACCTCTGATCATGAAGGACTTGTATGGAATTATACCTAAGGGATCAAGTACATCCAGGTGGTTATTATTGCAGAATAAAGCTTGGCAGGCTTACTGTATGAGCCACCAGACGTGTAATGGACACAAAAAGTTAATTTAACTATTTAATTAAAGACAAAGTAGATAGAAACAAAAACGGATGAATGAAGCATACACTACCCTATGTAACAATCAGTCACAAGTTGGCGCCAATTAATCAAAAACTCTGTAGTGACAGACAAGTTTAAAGCCCAATCCTAATTCTATTTTTGTTCCCCTACCCTTTCCCCTTGGCCCTTAAAACTGAGTGTAAAGGGGAAGGGCTTCAAAATGTTTTACCTAAGAAATGGGACACCACTACAACACCTGCACACGTCATCAGATGTCATCGCGATCTCTTGCTTCATTTGAGATCCGATAATGGCGAATTCTGTAGTTATTCTATTTGCTTTATTTTTTGGTATTCATCTTCAGGAAATCACTGAAGGCTTGTATTATGTTTTCATAACGATCTAATGTGGCAATAAGATCGTAACTGCACTGCACATTTACACCATATTAATGGCCATATTAATCTATGTAAACAAGCCAAAAACAACATTAACATTAAAGCAGACACTGTAAAAAGCTCATTTCCAGCCACTAGACTTTTCTGACAGGGTATTTGAGTTTCGTCGAGTGACAGAATGTTGTAGGACTGCAATACAGGAGTTATGATTATGAATTATAGATTGCGAAATTTAGCGTTTTTCATTAAGCGTTTTTTATTTTTTATTTTTTTAAGCGTGACAGTAAAACACAAACGCGGTTATGAATGTATTAAAACATGTGCTTGTTTGTTGCAAACATTCGTAATAATGACAAAAATACTAATTTGTGGATCTCCTGACTTCTGGGTGCAACTATCCTGCCGCTGTGGCTAGTGTATTCTGCGAAATTTTCTTACCCCTTGGTTTCGAGTGTGCTCCTGAAAAATCTTCATTCGAAGGGGCATCCACCCCTTCTCCTTAGCCTTACGCCTTCAAGCTTTAGAGAACTGGGACACCCCTACCCCTTCACGGAATGTGCAAAACGAGGGGGAAGGGCTAAGGGGTAGAATTGGTTTTGGGCCCAAGTATAGATGTGTATGTATTGGCTCACAGCCAAGATGATAGAAAATTTTATTATTTTCAGTATATATTAATGGTTGTAAAGCCAAACAAAATACCTTGGATTGTTTGGACTGACCAATCAGAATCAAGTAATCCAGAGAACTGTGTAATTAAATACTTTAAAATATACACGACGGATAACTAGATTCATTGGAATTGAGGCTTTACAGATCACTACGCAAGCATGAAAAGCCTTGCGTTATGTTTGCCTGTGATGTTCTTGATGTACAACCTGGCCTGGCGCAAGCTCAATTGCCACTTTAGGGTGAAAAACCCTCGTCCCGCCCCTACATCCCTCACAATAAATATGATAACTAAGACACATGTGAAGTGGCAAGTTTATTTATATAGCACATTTCATACACAATGGCAATTCAAAGTGCTTTACATAAACAAGAATAAAAGAAAGAAGTAAAATAAAAATAAAAACAAATAATAAAAATTCGTAAAAACAAAACAATACAAAACATAAAAACAGGTAAAATGTGATATAAAAGAATGAAGAAGAAGAGAAAAACATGATAGTGCAATTTTTCGGACGCAGCACAGTGCTCATTCAGTAAAGGCACAGCTAAACAGATGTGTTTTTAGTCTTGATTTGAATGTGCCTAATGTTGGAGCACATCTGATCATTTCTGGAAGCTGATTCCAGCAGCGAGGGGCATAGTGGCTAAAAGCGCTCTCTGTACTGTGATGTGAAGGATGGAAGATTTTGTTTGTTTGTTTATAAAATTGCACTAAAATAATAAAAATACTTAAACTAGTTTTCTTTTTTCCTGTTCTGCAGTGTAACAAAGCATGTAACTACTATGTTACAGCTGCAATTGCATATTGTGAGCATACTATAATGTCTGTAGCCTTTTGCACAATCACAGAGAGAATTCCCATTGGCCCGGTCATACATCGGGCAACAGTAGCAGCACCACTTTCACAAGCATAAGGGATGTGTAAAGCACAATTCTCTTGTTCGTTTTCACCAGGAAAGTGGCAGATCTATGGTTTCAGCACAAGTGCACAAAGGTTAAGTGACGATTTATACATAGCTGCTCGTAGTGGTTTTAAATATTATAAATATGAATATATGTGGGTGTCATGGTGGCACAGTGGGTAGCACGATCGCCCTACAGCAAGAAGGTCGCCAGTTTGAGCCTCGGCTGGATCATTTGGCATTTCTGTGTGGAGTTTGCATGTTCTCCCTGTGTCCGCGTGGGTTTCCTCCAGGTGCTCCAGTTTCCCCCACAAGTCCAGACATGCGCTATAGGTGAATTGGGTAAGCTAAATTGTCCGTAGTGTATGTGTGTGAATGAGTGTGTTTCCCAGTGATGGGTTGCAGCTGGAAGGTTATTCGATGCATCAGACATATACTGGATAAGTCGGCAGTTCATTCTGCTGTGGCAACCCCAGATTAGTAAAGAGACTAAACCGAAAAGAAAATGAATGAATGAATCAATGAATATATGTGACTCATGATTCTTGTCTGCTTTTTGTCTTACATTACATAAGACTTTCTTTTGGGACATTCTAAAGTGCATAAAGTACAGTGCAGAGTTCAACCCTCAGTGCTGGGAAACACCCATACATTCTCTCATTCAAGTTTTAGTTTATTCAATTGACCTGTCTTGTCTTTGGTTTGTAAGGGGAAACCGGAGCACCTGGAGGAGACCCACACAGACACAGGGATAACATGAAAAACACAAACTCGCGTCTTGGTTCTGCCTGGACTTGAACCAGCGACCTTCTTGCTAACCACTGAGCCAGTAAAAAAAATTAACTATAAATCATGATAAATGATAAATATTACTCTAAAGCCTACAGACAAGTAGATGATTCCATAATAGGAACACAACGTGCTCAATTAAATGTTACTAAGGCCCTGGATGACATATTTTGAAAGTTTCTAGGCAACCACAGAATTAGTTGTCTGTCAGTCTAGCATGACCGCTCGAAAATGTGGTTTGCTGTACACCTTTCCATTCATTAAGTTGAACAATGAAAAAAAAAAAAAAAAAAAACCACACACACACACAAAGAAACTGGCTGTTGTTGAATTTTTGTGACTTCAAGTGCTCAGTGCCCCTGCAAAAATATGAGCTAACCAGGGCAAAACAATGATTTGTTTATTTGGGTGCGATAATTATTACCAATTATCCAGTAATAATTTAAAATGAATAATTGATTAAATCTTTCTGTCTTGCCACCTCATATGTGTTAACACCTTAAAGTTGATTTATACTTCTTTGTCGAGTGATTGCTGTGACTTAGTGTCTGCATTGCGCATAATCCTGCATTTATACGTACTTCCGCGTGTTGTCTGTGTTGCTCTTCAATAACACTTCCAAAACACTAGCTGGCATTAGGTTTTTATGTTCACCTGTGTCTAGTATCTTCGTGGCTGATTTGTTTATTCCGAGTACCTTAATATACAAGTAGCTACAACTCGTTTATTCAGAGGCGGGAACCGGCGGACGTCAAACAACTTTAATCATAAAATAAACGCAAAATAAAAGTTTCCATCTGGAGCTCCTTCACGGGAATTTACACTAATCACAGGGCTTGCAATACGCGTCGTTGTGACATGTAGTTACATTTTTTGAGGAGCGCGTCAGCGAACGAAAGTGAAGAGCGGATATGGCAGGGGGAAGGGGTGTGGTTGTTATGGATGAAAGTAAAGAGGGTTGGGGAGTCGTGGAAGAAAGTAAAAGTGAACAGCGGATGGGAGAGGAGGGCGGTTAAGGAGGGGGATCGGTAAAATAAGGTGCCGGATCAGATTTCAGAGGTTCCGGATCCGGTGTGTTCTGACACAAATTAAGCCCTGAATACGCATCATTGTGATATGTAGTTACATTTTTGAAAGGTGTGAGTCAGCCACAGTGAGGACTATGCGACAGCATTTGTGCCGGACCATAAAGTACAAATCATCCTTTAGGCGACTATCTAGTTTACCTATATGCACATGCCATCTCTGTCTACAACTATAATTGAGGATTTTAAAACAGTTCTTACTGATATAGAGAATAACATCATTAGGAGTTAATCTCGCGCGACTAGACGTTTAGGGTGCTTTCACATTATCACTTTTGGTCCGCACTCAGGTTTGTTTGATGTCAGAGCTCGGCAGGGCCGGACTGGGACTAAAAATCAGCCCTGGCACTGTAGCCACACTAGCCCACATTACCACACTGACACACCCCCATGCACGGACGCGCACATTCACTACTTAGATTGGTGTAGAGATGGTGAAATAATATAAGCAGTACCATATGTTATCGATATCTAAACATTTAATGTATGTGACTGTAACAAAAACAACCCATTTATAACAAATTTATATATGCAATCATTTCATTCATTCGTTTTCTTTTCGGCTTTGTCCCTTTATTAATCTGGGGTCATCATAGCGGAATGAACCGCCAACTTATCCAGCATATGTTTTATGCAGCGGATGCCCTCCAAGCTGCAACCCAACACTTGGAAACCTCTATGCACACACATTCACAAACGTGCACTACGGACAATTAAGCCTACCCAATTCACCTATAGCACATGTGTTTGGACTTGTGACGGAAACCAGGAGGAAACCTATGCGAACATGCAAACTCCAGCAAACTGCAAACACCAACTGACCCAGCCGAGGCTCGAAATAGTGATCTTCTTGCGTCATGCGCTGCCCCCTTTCAAGACTATTTCATTTAATTTTATGCATTTGGCATTTTGATTTTAGAGACTTTTTTTTTGTTTTTGGTACTGCCTTTAATTTTTTATGGTCCATCTTTGACAATTAGCTTGTTTGTAGCTTTATTTAACATTCTTGCCAGGGTTTTGATTATGTCCGGTTTACCTCTGATTGGGTCGGCCCATTTTAAAATCATGCGGTTGTTGCCGATTGGGCCAATGCTTAACATTTATTATTATTACTACTATTATCATCATCATCATCATCATCATCCTCATATTATTCACATCTTGCAAGAGATAAAAGCTGCCTGCATGTAAAAACAATACATATAAAAAATTAATTAAAAAAAACTGACCGGCCCACATTTAAAAAATGGTCCGGCCCTTCTGGCATTTGCCAGAATTGCCAGATGGTCAGTCCGCCCCTGGAGCTCGGTATGTTTAGCTCTGATGTCTACTAAACTCTGGTGTGCACCCGAACTCTAACCGAGTCTTCCTAAAAGAGATGGTCTGAGGTACAGTCCATGCAAACTCTGGTACATTTCACTTCTAATATGAATGCAATCGTACCCAATAACGGAAGTGAACCACCAACTGTAGAACAAACTTTAGTTTTCATACCGTTCATTTGTGTGTGTTTGTCTGTGTATTACCTACCTTGTCGACAAGCGGGACTGACCCAGTGCAAACAGTGATAATGACTGCTTGTCTCCACCAAAAATGACTTTTGCAGAGATCACATGATTTTGCAGCAGCAGCAGCAGACAAACGCAAGTAGCTCTCTGTATTTTAGTTTTGGTAATAAAACGTTTTCAGTAAAAGCAGAACGACCGTGATTTGCGGATGTCTCCATTTTGCCGTTTTGCTTTCGTGGTTGTCACCTATTGTAGCAACAGCTGTACACAAAACAGCAGCTTGATGATGCAAGCGTACCAGGGTTCAGAAGGAAAAAAGACAGTGTGAACACAAACCAGCCGAGAAGGTGGCAAGGAGGGACAATCAGAGTTAGGTTCGGTTAATTTGTCATGGACTATCCAGAGGTCACCTGAGTCACATGTAAACAACCAAACCAACGTCATAAGCCCTACAATAATGAGCCAGCATGTAACATCTGTAAATATTTTAAAGAATTACTATAAGCTCTGTGTTCATTTAATCCTGACTAAAAAGCACTGTTAAAAGCATAAAGTACTCTAAGTTTAAGTTATATTGTAGGTCCCCCTGGAGACAAAGGGCAAAAAGGCAGTCCAGGACGTTATGGAAAGATGGGTCCCACTGGGCCCAAAGGTGAGTACAGTTTGTGAAAGCATCTGGACTTTTGAAAGTATTCAGGTTTGCTTGGTCTTACTGCTTGAAGACATAACTCTCTTTTTTCATAGGTTTAAAAGGTGATATGGGGGATCCAGGACCCAAGGGCCCAAATGGAGAGCCAGGTATAGAACTTGCTGAAATATAATTCAATTTATATCATAACTCATAATTGGTTCGAACTCATTAGGAACCAGTTTAATGCTTGAACTGCTCATGTGAATGGCCTACTTTTTAATTTATCTCCCTAGGCGTCCCCTGCGAGTGCGCACCCTTACGGAAAATGATTGGAGAAATGGATATTCAAGTGGTGCAATTAACCAATGAGCTGAAGTTCATTAAAAATGGTACGTCCAAAAAGACAGAATGAACCCTCTGCACTCTCTACCAGTGTTCCTGAGATTACAGTAATGTGAAGTTGTCAAGTTGATTCGCGCAGTTGTTCATTTTGATACGCAGGGTGAATGCACTTAGACAAAGGTATTTAGCCATTAGCCAGAAGCTCTTTTGTTTGACTGTCAGAATGCACTTGTGTGAACGCTGGCTGCTGCAGTGTGATTATAGAAATTCAGATCCTCATTTTTCAGCACTGCCCTCCCCCGCAGCTGTCGCCGGCATCAAAGAGACAGACAGCAAGGTCTATCTGCTTGTGAAGGAGGAGAAGCGCTACCGGGAAGCGGAGGTGTTTTGTCAGGGCCGAGGTGGACACCTGGCTATGCCCAAAGATGCGGCAGCTAACAGAGCCATCGCCGGCTACGTGACTGACGCGGGCCTCAGTCGCGTGTACATCGGCATTAATGACCTGGAGCGAGAAGGCCACTTTGTTTATGTGGAGCGCTCACCCATGACCACTTTCAGCAGGTGGAGGGAGGGTGAGCCCAACAACGCGTACGACGACGAGGACTGTGTGGAGATGGTGTCTTCAGGAGAGTGGATTGATGTCGCTTGTCAACTCACCATGTACTTCGTGTGTGAGTTTGACAAGGACACCGTTTGAGCTTCACTGCGCATCTGTAGAGGGGGGAAAGTCAAGTGTTTAAAATACTCCAGTGGCAAATTTCAAAGAGAAAAGGCTACTTTTGTTATATCTATGGTATATGATGTGTTTTATGTATAGTTGTTAAAACAACAATTAAGTATTATTTTTATGCACTATATATTGTATTTTCCTGAAGTTTGGGTTTTGGAGATTTGAAATGTTCTAGTCTCTAATATCCAACAAGACTGGATTTATGTGATCCAATATACAGTTAAACACAAATATATGTTTTATATTTATATGATTGCTAAATAGTTCTTCCAAAAACAGGCCCATAGCCAGCCTGGTGAAAGTGGTGTTTTTTTTTTCACGAAAAGTGGACCTTTTTGCAGTTAATTGCCTCATTTTCTATTTAATTATGAGATTCAAATACTGCATTTTATTGACATTTTAAGCACTGTTTTTAGCTGAATTAACCTGTCGGATGGTCATCATAATCACACTTTTTGATGTATCAAATATTTACTAAAGATTTAGAATACAGATTTTAAAATACAAATTAATTACATTATTAATCATTAAGAAAAAGATTTAATCTGTTAATGTTTAAAAAAAAAACCTGTAGCCTATTGTCATTTATTAGGAAAATAACAAACTGGCCAGCAAATTCAATTTTCCTATTCCAATAAAAAGTAATTAAAAGATTTAGAATAAACGTTACTTGTAAAATGTTTTCTCAATTTAAAAACAATACAGTGGTGAAAGAAGACTTCTCTTACTTAGATTGTGTGTTTTCTTGCACAGCTTGATGAAAAATATTTGTTAGCATTGGCCAAAACTAGCTAGCTGAAGTCACACCGAAGCCACAGCCAACAGAGGATTCCACTTAGTCTTAAAGCCTTTTTCGTGAGGGCTATTATCACTATTTATGATGGCATAGCAGTCAGAATAGGACAATTGAGCTCGTTATGGAAGAAATTCTGGACCTTTGTCAGTGAGGGGTGGGTTTTCCGTATCACCCCGAACCCTGTCACAAGAAAAAAAAAAAAAAATCAAATTGTCATAATTTACACAACCTTTACATGTTTCAAACCTTTATGAGTTGCTTTGAATCTGTTGAACACTAAATAATAATATATTCTGAATAAATACAAAATTTTGGGTGAACTGTCCCTTTTAATTTGCCATAATTTGAGTCTTTATTGCCACATGATCATTTAGAAATCATTCTGACATTTTTATTGGATTATTATTTTTATTATATTATTAGAACATTTAAACAGAGTTGTACTAGGTATTTTTGTGGAAACCCTTTTTTGTAATATCTGAGAAATAGACCATAATACTGACGAGAAATACAGGTACTGCCATTTGTGAATATTACTGTACAGTACATGCCGCTTAAATGAATTTTAAGAAGGTTACTTGCATTTACTTTTAGGTATTTTTGTAAAACGCCAGACATAATTGTGAAAGTTATACGAATGTGAAAGTCATTTAAATTACTAAACTGCATTTAAATGTGATAATGAACTGTTTGTGTAATTATATGTGCTAATTTAAATTCCACTGATTTGTCCTTCTTTGTGTTTCCTTTTACTTGCTTTCTTTTCTGCCACTGGAATTTGAATTAGCTGTTTTATTAATTTACTGAACAGGTCAGAATACTAATATTATTAAAGCAAACTTAACTTGCATTATATTTTTCCTCTAGATGGAACTGCCAGATTGAGGTTAGACTTTATATTTTTATAATATCCAAACACTGTTTATTTCTGCAATAAAATTACTGTCCCTGATTACCAAAAGTGCACTATTCTGTTATTTCCTATTCTTTTTGGCAGATTGGGCCAGTATCAAGGCCACACAACAAACAAACAAACAAACAAACAAACAAACAAACAAACAAACCGTAAGATCAACATTGTTTTTATAACAATAAACCACCATCACAAGCTACCATCATACTGACTTATTTAAATACCCCCTGAAAAACCCTTTCCCAAAGCAATTTTGAGTTTAAATTTAAATCAATGTACACTTTCTCTAATGAATTGTCAAAAAACGAAATAGAAGATTATATATTCAGTAAGGATAAGATTAATTATGACAATATGTCTTAAACAGAAGAAACTTTACCAATGTTGTGAAATATCACTAATTATGGAAAGTTATTTTAGAATACATTAGCATAAACATAATAGGTACTCCAGGGATTCATTATACTGCATGTATTTCATGTCTTATCATTAAATTAATGAAAAGGAAAACAATAACAGCAAATAATTGTACATTTATATATCATGAATTTTACTTTTGTGTAAAATGTCCTTTTGTTGTTTTGTATTACTACAACAAATAACAATCATAATATTAAATATTATTATCAATATCATGGCTATTATTTGTTTTTGATCAATATTACTATTAATATTAGTGAGTTATAATATTATTAATTCATATTTTCAGTCTGTGTGTTTCTGAAACGCTTATGAATCTCCATTGCTCTGAGATGATGGTTCTGCGTTTTCCTCAGAATGATTTTTCTAAAGTTGTGATGTGACGCTCTCTTGTGGTCAGATGTGGCTCTACATACCGTAATAGTTTAACCCTCATGGCTCAAATTGCACTAACTATAAGGGCTTATGACTAGGTCAAGCCGTCCTGAAATTAACTATGCATGAAAATTTAACCGAAGGGAGGAAATATGATTCATTTGTAGCAAAAGTGACAATCTTCACACCCCTGTTGCCCTTAATAGTTTTCCCCCATAAATCTTTTAAGTCCTAGGGTGCTTACATTTCATAATAGATATTCAGAATGAACTTTACAAACATAATCAGGCAACCTTGTTGTGTAAAGTGATCTGTTATTCTACACTGTGAAGCAGACAATGAAACAGACAGACATGAGAGGAGCCCATCCTGCAGGATAGTATAAATGCAGTAGTATAAATAGCAGTTTATAATACTGCTGGTCTTAAAATATTGCAGCACTTTTATTTGACCTTTTTTAATAATAATAATAATAATAATACCATAATCTAAAGACACTATGACTTAAAAGGTTTACCATTTGTTTTAATTATTATTAGTTTATGACAGTGTTTGATCATATACAGATAAAAATTTGACAAATATAAACCCAACTCTGGGTCAAACATGGAATGTTTGTTAGAATATTTAAAAATGTTTTAAATAGAATTTAAAATCTAACCTAATGTTAGATTTAAAAAAAGTTTCAATATAATGTTAACATTTACTTTCGATGTGAATTTATGTTTTGAATTTTTACTGCAAATGTCACATCCATAACGCTGGAATTGCTCATATACGTACATATATACTCTCAGAAAAAAAATATAAAATGTTGTGGTACAAATTGTGGTACAAACTTTCATGGTAAAAATCAGATCCATGAAGGTACCACTACAGTGACAAGACACTTTGTACCTTAACAGTGTCAAAGGTGCTTATCAAACATTTATTTAAAGTGCCTTAAATTTTTAGTCTACAATACCCGTTTTATGTTTTACCAGTTGTTTTGTATTAAACAACTTAATAAATTATATTTATGAGTTTCTTTAAATATGCTTAAAAATTATGATTTATATTTTAATATGGAAATTATTCATAAAATCACTTTGCCTTTACAGTAATAGTCATTTTCATAGGTATTGTAAGAAAGGAGTGGTTCGACACTTATGTACCTTTTTATAGGAAGAATTGTGTACCTTCAGTAAAAGGCACAGAACAGTATCATAAGAGGTCTTTTCTGTTCATATAAGTTACAACTTTTACAAAGGTACAAATCTTTTCCTCAAGGAACATTGAACCACAGTGTACGTTTTTTTCTGAGAGTTAAAAAATGTCACATAAGCTTGTCATTCTCAAAAAAAAAAAAAAAAAGGAAATCATACAAAACAAGCATAAAATCATACAATTCAATGATAGAACACATCCTTAATCACTGTTTGTTGTCCATCAAATGTGACCTCCAAGTCATAGACTTAACCATGTATTGCATGCATTTTATGTTTAATTTTATGCAAATGGGACGGGACTGACAGAAACACGGGGAGGACTGTTAATTTATTTGTATTGTATATTTCTAGCATTTATTTGTAGAATTTATAATTTCATGTTTTAATCAAGTTTTTTGTTTCTAAATAACAGTTTTTAGCATAACAAAACTATTAAGGCTGTAGGTTTAATTGGGCTGAGGACAAGGACAATGACAGGGTTAAAGAGTTTTTAATTAAGGACAAAAATCTGAGAATCAAATGAATGACAAGTTTCTTTACAGAACAACTCAGAGAAATCAACCACCAGTTCATTTTAGAAATTTTCTGGCATTAAATATTTTTTATTCACTGTATTTAGGCCAAGGATTTTTTTTTTTTTTTTTTTTGCAGGGACAGTAAGCTGACACCTGATATTTTGGAGAAGTTGACCTAGAATACGCTGTCTCATACGACGGTGATGTAATTAATACACTGATTAAAGTTTAACCAATTGTTTATTCTTGTCTAAGACAGGTTAACCGATCCCTGATTGCCGCCGTTAAATCTCCAGTTACCTCAGAGCACAGACTAAACTAGAACAAACTTTTAGAGGTAACAGGTAACGAAGCAAGAAGAAATGTTATGGCTATAAAAAATATATTTTTAGTTTATTTTTAGAGACAACATTTTTTTTGACAATTTCTTTAAGTCCTTTAACCTCTGGCTGTCTCCAGGACGAGGGAAACAACGGTTCAGACAACGTTTAACTATTTTCTGTCGTTTAAGTGTTTTCTCTATTCTGTATACAGATTTATTTTTGGGCTTGTCAGCACCTCCTCGTGGTTTACTTTATAATGTCTCATCCACAGCTTCCTCCGACAAAAACGGTGACTGTGTTCAGGAACGGAGATGCTTTTTACCCCGGCCGAAGGTTTATCATAAACCAGCGCCAGTCGGTGACTTTTGACACTTTTCTGAACACTGTCACTCGAGATATCACGGCACCATTTGGGGCAGTGCGAAACATTTACACCCCTAATGGTCACAGGGTGGTGAGTCTGCAGCAGCTGATGCACGGACAGATGTATGTGGCCGCCGGAGGAGAGAGACTGAAAAAAATGGAGTAAGTTAATTCATACACGTGATGCTGATGGCATTCATTAACTTCTGTATGATCGGGCAAAACTGATTGTCACTTTTAAAATGTTTCTAGTCTTGCCTGTAGAGTACTTATTCACTGTTATACTGAAGGAAAATTTATATTTTTATTTAATTAAACGTGCTTTTATTGACCTAAGTTAGACTAGGGCTGAAAGTAACATTTTTGGTGAGTGTCTGTTGTTCATGTTAGATCTCTCAAACTGTTTTACATTATAGCCACATCATTTTGACTATTATAAAAATAATGAACTTTTACTACTACTACACAGTTACAGATTATGTGAGTTAACGTGAAATACGAAGACTAATGTAACAAGTTGTAACACTATCTGGGGAAAGAAGTAACAGGTCATTTGGTGAAATAATACCCACACTCCAGAGTTTAAAGAACCTTGTCAACAGTTTAAATTGAATATTTGCAGAACTTAAAATTTTTCTATAACAATTTACTTTTTGCCTGTGTGTGCATTTGCGTGTAAAGTCTATTTGTTTGGAAACTTTCAACTAAACACTATAACATGTTGCTGTGGGTTTAATGCATAAAGTATGTTTCAAATAGGTCACTATATATTTGCCACAATTTCGGACAAACTTGTCTGGATCTGGGATGCAGGCTTTGTGGACACAGAAACGACAGCATCTGACAGTTTCTGCACTGTAAAAAACAGTTGACTCAATTCAAAATTTTAAGGCAACAAACCTCAGGACATTTTTGAGTTGCTAAATTACCCAATTACTGCATTTGACTCAATTTAAGTTGAGTAAACTCATGTCTTGAAGTTTGTTGCCTTAATTTTAGGTTGGGTACACTTTTTTATTTTTTTACAGTGTGCATGTACACCTGTCGGTCCTTTATTTTTATGGCCTATAAGGGGCACACAGTATACAGTGTATACTGTGCATACACACACACACACACACACACAAAGTTACAAATAACTTTGAAAAAAAAAAGTTAAAACACTCCCTGTTTCCCCCTACAATTTGCATTACCACAGGTTTAATACAGATAGCATGAATAAACTGTGGTTGGTGTAGTAATCCATGGCTAATTTGTGGTTGTTAAAAGAAAAAAGAAAACAGTGTTTGCTATAATGCCAAAGCAATTATATTAACTGTATTCTTTCTCTTTTCTTTTTTTTCATAGCTATAATAACATAACACAGAAACCAGCAAAAAAGAAAAGTGAATCGGTAAGTCATAGTATCTACATTTTTAAAGGGCAAAAAGTTATCATTCTATCAACGCATTAATAATTTAAAAATATCAAGCTTGGGGAAAAAAAAATTACTGACAGATTTTTGTATTAAAATATACTTTTGTTGTCTTGCAATAAAACTATAACTGAGCACCTTACAAAATATTATATATTTATTTGTGCAATTTTTAGAATTTATGACAATTCACTTGACATAGCCTTAATAAAATGATTTAAAAAATTAATAAAGCACTGATGCACATTGGTTATTGTAGGTTATTGTATGTGGGTTAAATTTTTTTTGGAATTTTCTATATATAAAATGTGCATCACCTACCCATGCTCTGACCAAAGTGGCTTAATCAATTGCAAAATGCTCTTTAAAGAAAGTTTGGCTTTGATTGTATCATTATCCTACCTGAATTTAGCACAAGTTTAAAGATTCTAACTCTAAAGCAGATATTTGTAGATTACATCAAGGTTTGTTTTGACTTTGTAATTCCACCAAAATATCCCTGTTGTTTACTGTAAATCATATACAAAGTTTCAGGTTTAAATTAGTCTGTAAACGTACCATATACACAGTAAGTGTGCTATTCTGAAGCCATGTAATACTTACTTGCATACAATTTCAGCAATGTATTCAAGTTACTTGTTGGGATGGGATTATAGCTGACCAGGAGGTACATTTCAAAATGCATGAGATTTGTGAAGTCACTGCAGAGTGCAACCATATTGTAATGAAAGTTTATCCTTTGCACATATTTTTAAGACCTGCAGGTGACTCTTTATGAGTATTTCATGATAGTTTTAAACCTTAAATTATTTATACAATTAAGACAATGCAATGTTATTTTATTTATTTGATTATTTAATTTTTGTTTACCTGAACACTGTTCAGACTCCCCTAAACCAAAGCACTGTTTATATGACTTCTGTCTTTTCTCTCGTAATTTGATTATTATAGTTTGTGCATGATTCTCTCCCCTACAGAAACCTCCCAGTTTATTTATTGAATAAAGTTATTAATAATAAATCACTAAATTCTTTCTAAATAGAGCTATTTACAGTAGGTCAGACTTTAATATGGCCATTACTGCCATACCATGTACCGCCACCAACGAGTGAAACAACAAGTTTTTTAGGTATGACCAAAATTTGCGACTATGCCGCCAGGAGGCACAAAGGGACGGGATGCAAACCGACAGAAATAGCCTAGACATTAGCTGTAAATACTCTGTTACTTGTAAATAAACATAAACAATGAAACAAAGCATTATAATTCCATCATTAATCATTAAAAAGACATCTAGGCTTCAAAATTTAAATGAAAAGAATAACAAATAACCTTTGGGGTAAAGTGGTTCAAAACAAGTCCACTATATGCTTTAGCACCAAAACACGAGTTGCCGTGAGATTGTGTTAGTTTGTTAAATAAAATAATAATCTAGCCTAAAAAAAATTAAAGTGAAAAAGTCACAGTTTCAGAGAATCCTATATTAACTGAAAGAAGGATATTTTTGGTCACAGTTTGTCACAAACGAGTTGACAAACCAGCGCTGGTGCTGATCGCCTCTGTGCTGCCTGGAGCCGCGTCATAAACTCTACAAACAGGCTATTGATGATTTAATGTAGGCTACAACCAACAAACCAACCTTTTTCCATTTGAGAAATTGCAGTTATTAATAGTTCCTAAATAATATACATTGTTAAATAGCCTACATAGCCTAATCTACAAAAAAAAAGGTTTTCTTGATGTTTGCATAATGAAAACTTGGCACCAAACCGAGATTTTACAGCTTAAAAAAAACATGTATGCAAATTAATGCAATATCATATGTAAACAACAAAATTGTTATATGCTATGTAGTAGCCTATACTTAGGGCCAGATGAAATCTGCGGACACTTATGCTATTTCTGTGGGGAATTATTACTGCAGAGAGGTAAAAGTCTGCAGATTTCTGCGGAATTATTTTGAGAGTATCATAACTAAAACCTTAATATATGAAATAAAAATAATACCTTTTTAACTTCTATTTAATGTTAAAAATCCAAATCCAATTAGATTCACTTTATTTTGTGAATAGCAAGTTTGTCATAATATATCAAGTAAAAGACAGAAAATATTACTGTACAAACTGCATGGTACATAAATCAGATGAACATTTTCACATTAGTCAATAATATTACTCAAATTAATTTAAAAACTGAATAAAAATAGATTTACACACATTTACTCAAGTAAATAAACAGAATAATGATGGGCTAAAAATCTGCGGAATTCTGCGCGCGCAGATTCCGGGTGGGCCCACCTATACTTTACAAAAAGTCAACAAATGAGCCTTAAGGCTTATTGTCATTGTCTTTCTTTACACGCACACATGAACCGGTTTTTAAAAAGGGTTCAATCAGTGTTTTGTCATTTAAGTAAAAAATGTAAAGCAGGATTTATTTATTCTTTTTGTTTAGTTTATCTGGGGTCTCATTTATAAAGATGTACACTCAAAACAGTGGCAGAAATGTGCTTACGCCACTTGCCATGCAAAAGTTGTGTTCTATTAACCCAAAAAGTGACAGGAAAATGTGCACAGCTGCAAAGTAAGTAAACTCTAAGTAAATTTAACTTCAATGTTGACTTTATTAAACCCCTTCACGACCCATGTTTAAATAATAAATTCTGGTGTACATTCACTTTTAGGAACTTTTATAAGTTTTCAAATCTCAATATACATTGCAGAAAAAGCTTAGTATTAAAATATAAGATTTATGGGGTCCTTATTTTTTTGTAAAACTGTGACTAAAATGTTGTGTTAGTAATTCGTTGGTTAATGATAAAATGCTTATGCCTCATTTGTAAGTTGCTTTGGATTAAAGCGCCTGCTAAATGAATAAATGCAAATGCAAATGTGAACCATTGGCGTCTCTGCATGGGATCCTAACCCATACGACTGTTGTTTTAAATAGGGTTCAAATCGAGAGTCAGAAAGATGCCGGCTTTGTACTATTTAAAGTTCGGACTATTTGAAGTGACTTATTAAGCTCATAGTTTTTTATAGCTTTCCTCAGAGACTAGAATCCAATGGACCATAATACAGCAATAATCATAAAAATGGCCACTTAGAGTGACTTTGCTTGAGGTTATGGCACTATATGTCACTGTCTGTCACCCTTTTAGCTGCTTGTTTCCATCTGAACAACAACCAACATAGCATTTAAGAAGGCTGATTGAAGAAAAGCAGATGTGTAAGTGCCCTAAATGAGCAGTTGGAACAGTTATTGTCAGTGATGCTCAGCGGGGTCCTGTTCATTTGTCTCCTCTGCAGATTCAACCTGTAGTTCACAGCAGAATAATTGTCCCAGCTCGATGGAAGAGAATCAGTAATGAGTCGTGCACCATCAAGTGAGCCCTGCTTTTAATGTGTCCCTATTGGAAGTCTTCAATGGCAAACCCTCAGGCTACTGCAAAGTCTAATTCTTTAAACAAGTAATACTGTCTAATGGTATAAAATCGGATCAGTGGGCTCTGCTTTACTTCATTATTTATTTCTAATAGCGTCTCTTTTTCTCACATGTTGTTAAGCCCAATGTATACTTTGGTTGTTGCATGTTTTTTTAATCTTGTACATTAGTGTACTGTTTTTTATTTTTTTAATTATTTCTCAATACTGTTAATTTTTCACAGTATTTCCTTTTTTTTGTCTGGAGAAAGCCTTATTTCTTTTAATTTGGCTGAAATAAAAAACAAAATCTGCTACGGTTATTATTATTAGCCCTCTTAAGTAATTACTTTTTTTTTCTATTGATTATATAAATATTCATCTTTGTCCCGTGTCTGCACCTTTTCTTTAAAAAAAAAAGCAGTAAGTTAATCTTTGCACTTGTTTAAAAGTAGATTTAAAGACAACTCATTTAAATATATTTAAGTCAGGGTCAGTGTATGTTGTTTTTGTTATTCTCAAGACATTTTAACATTAAATCTATTTAAAAGTGCTATTATTTCATTAGATACTTGTACTTTTTTATTCGATGCTTGTACATATAAAAAACATTTTTTTTATAACATAATAAGAATAAAATATAAAAGCAGCTGTGGCTAGTTAGATAAATTATTACTAGTAAGAATGATAAGAGTTACTAGTGCCGAATAAATAAATATTATCCATTAGGAAGAATTATTTAATGAATATGTATTTATTTAACAGAGATTTATGTTTAATAAACAAGAACATTAATGCTATTATATAGAATAAAGAGCTATATACAGTTGAAGTCAGAATTATTTGCCAACCACTTCAGAAAACTGAAAATGTCCTTGTTCTGTTAAACATCATTTTGGAAATATATATATATATATATAATATATATTTTTATATATAATTTATATATATATATATATATATATATATATATATATAAAGGGGGGGTAAGGGGTGGGCTGATAATTCTAATTTCACATGTATATTTCAGTATATAAAGTATAATTTAATAACAGGCACTAACATATAAAAAATAAACAAATATTAGTTCCTGCACTCAATTTTTTTTACTCGTTCAAACTACTTAATTAAAATGAACTGAAACAACACAATTCTTGAGATTTCATTGGGACAACAAAATTTTTTATGTTTAATCCACATAAATTTGTTAAAAATGTTAAGTTAACTTAATTGATTTGTGTTGGGACAACATGAATGAATTGTGTGGAACCCTACATACAGTGTAAATAACAATTAGTATGTCAAAAAAGTAAATATATAGATTTCCACAGAAGTCAGTTGCATTTTTTGTTAGTGATACTAATAAAGTAGTTACTATACATTCACAAAATAATAATAAAAAAAATAATAATAATTAAAAAAACCCTGCTTGCTCAAACTATTTATTTAATATGAGCTGAAACAACACAGTTTTGGATATTTTCTTTGGGACAACGTATTTGTTTTATGTTCAGTCCACTCAGATTTGTTAAGTTCACTTAATCGTTTTGTGTTGGGACTCTGCAGTTTTCACAGTGTAGTCACTATTGATACAAGTAGCAGTGATGATTGAATAAAGAAATACTAGCATAAACACTAGCAATTAAGTACTAATAACTACTAAAGAATTTAATGAAAAATGACTAGTACCTATACTAGTATCTAATGAATAAGTACTCATTAGTTACTAGTACTTTTACAAGTTACATGTATTTTTTTAGATACTACAACCAATTTAATAGATTCTAGTTTTACCTGTATTACTTTGCTAGTTTTATTTATTCAGTTAGTTATTATATACACAGCTCAAAATCTTACTGCTCAGGGCTGCGTTTCCCGATAACGATTGATCTTAGCACTTAAGAGCGTTTTCTACGAGTCATTTTGCGAACGTTCGTTATTGTTTCACGTGCGTTTCCCAAAAATGCACTTAACACAATTGCACGTAGCCCAGCTTTAAGTGCAACTTAGGAGTCGCTATCCGTTTGTTAAGTGCTGAAATGTCACGCTATAGAATGGCTCGTTATTGTTGCACATGTTATAGCAATCCATATAATTCTTCTTCTACTTGTGTGAATGTATATTCAACTCGAATAACATAAAAAAAAAATATTTTTGAGCCAGTTTAAAAACATAAATTAACTGGAAATGTCGTACTGTAAAAACACTGTCTTGCTCCAATCTCGCATAAAACTAATTCTAACAGTCCTTGCCGGAAATGACATCAGCATCATTTTCGATATTTATATGAAACCTTAATTAAGTAGAATTATTTATCAATTTCTTTATCAAAAATTGCTTATCTCACATCAAAATAAATAAATAAGTAAATAAATAAATAAATAAATAAGCTCTTACATTTATTTTTGAAAAGTTTAGCCTAATTATCCCCACCTGATGTGCATTTGCTAATAGGACGAAAATATAAATGAATAGAGATATACGTACAAATAAAATGAATAATGACTTTGAAGAGAAGTAAATTGTAGGTGCAATTTGCCGGTTGTCCAGCAGGTGCCCTCATAACTCTGTCTCCTTACGATGCACTTAAGGCTTTACGATTACTCCAGAGCACTCGTAGATCCACTAAGATTTTCAAGTGCTACTTAAGTTACGATGCTTTTGGGAAACAGACCGTAATATTAAGATCAGTCGTACGATCATTTCTACGAACTTCTTAGGCTTACGATGCTTTTGGGAAACGCAGCCCAGATCATTTCAGTGTAGGTGTAAAATTAAGTGTACTTTGGGCTTTGAAGATTAGTGTGATTTTCTCAAAGCCAAAACTGATTTTATCTTGTAGTGTTTTTATCAATGGAGATATCTTGGTTCCTCCAGCACGAATTTTAATTCCAAAACACACGCTTGCTAGCTGGGAAAATGTATTGGCCATGGTGACCGAGAAGGTTTCCCTTCGCACTGGAGCTGTGCACAGGTATGTGTTGAATACATAAATGTGCAGTACATGTGTAAAATGTGAGCGTTGAGTGATTTCATTTCTTTCAGATTGTGCATGCTGAATGGAAGGCCTTTACGTGGAGCGTACGAGCTGCAGAACAACCACAGTTATGTTGCTGTGGGGGCAGAGAAGTTCAGGTCTTTGCCATATCATCTGGCACCAAGCAAAGGAGCAATTCACAGCTTCACTGTGTAAGAACCATTACAAGACAATGTAGTTGGTGAAATTTGCTATCATTTGCTCACCTCTTGCCATTCAGAATCTGTATGATTTTCTTTCTTCCACAGAGTACAAAGAGAGAAGCACAAAGCACTATAGATATGTAGTCCTTTTTGAAGTTATATGATTGCGTCTATGCACAGATTGAATAAATTGCCCTCCTGTTTGAATATATCTAATGCTCAACAAGGCAAATATAGTAAAAAAAAAAGTAGTATTCAATGTTTAAAGGAATATATTTTAGAATATTAATTAATGTGATAGCAAACTTGAATTTTTAGCATATTACTTCTGTCTTATTACTTCCGAAATGCTGACTTGGTGCTAAAAATATTTATTATTACTATTTTAAAGTAATTTTACTTAGTTTTTTTTATTGGAATGTATTATTGTGAATTTAGCTCAATAAAGTATTTTAAAATAATAACTTATTATTCAACTATAGTTTATAGTTAATTAATTTATTATAAATTATTGTCATATAAAAATTTATTTAAATAAAAAACTATTGTTAAATGAATGTGTATTTAACAGACAACAATCGAACAATAAATAAATAAAATAAAATGAATGCACTGGAAAATAACCAATTAAATTGTAAACATTTTAAAGAAGTCAACATTAATATATTATTTAGTAATTATTTAATCTCACATCTAACATACTGTCTTTTTGGTTTTACAATATTGTTTTATTCTCATTTGTTTTCCACAGAAGGAAGATTGGAAAAACCAGAGGAAGAGTTTTCTCTCGTTCTTTTTTCTTCTTTAAGTGACTTTTTTTTGTTTGTTTTTAGGATCAACAATGACATTCTTCCATCTCAAAGAAAAGAAAAACAACACCGAAATCTGGTAAGGACACCAAAGCAATGAGCATAGTGTAGTGGTGTAACATATCTCAAATCGTTTTGGATCACATAATGGTTTTTTAGTTACAGATCAGATTATTTTTCAGATCAGAAAAAAGAGGAGGAAACAAATGTAATTTGCTTTTTATTTACTACAAAAATACTGCAAGAAACTTTTGGTTTTAACAAACAAGGGGTCCGTCCTTCGTACGTGGATTACTCAGTTAGCTGGATTTGGTTATTGATGATTTGACATGATTCAGGATTGTTTTATTCTTCAAAACACATCCAAGAGTTTTTGTCATAGCAACAGTTCTGGCAGCTCAAACCTGCTCGCGAGCAGGCTTATTTTATATAAACAGGATTGGATTGGGTCTTTTCAAGAAAAGGTAATGCTAAAAGTATGTACCAAATGCTGATATATATTTTTTTTAGTAGTAATTATATACACTTGGAAAAATAGTAAAATAGTTTAAATAAAATAAAAAAGTAAAAAATAAAATAAAATAAAACGTATGCAATCTGCACTCTACAACGAAAGTGGAAAAACTTTTCTCCACAAAGGGGTTTAAAGAGAACATTTATTAATATGGACTTTTAGATACAAATGCATGCTATTTTAAGGACCCAGCTTTAGTACAATTTGTCTATGATAATAGACATGCACAATATTCAACAGTTTTTTTAAAGGAATAATAATTTATGCAGTCATGCACTCGTTTTGACAGCTTATATAATGGTGATTTGATGCTTCACTAAAGTTGCAGACACTTTTACTGATATTAAAATGCTTTTATGATGCAAAATTAATTTAAACAGCCAGCTATTCCTTAAACCGTTTAAGAAACCCGACTATAATGAAGAAAATCTGCTTGTAATTTAAAATTAACTAAATTGCTAAATACTCTTGACAAATACAGTAAAAGCGTAACACCTGCAGCCCACAACAAAGGTGTAAAGTTATTGTGTATCATGTTTTACAAACCATTTACTGTGAATTTTTATGTAATTTTGCTCACATGGATAATTGAATATTAATCAGATGATGTCATTGCGCTTCTCTGCCGTCAGCCAGTCTACCCAATCGTTGGATTGGTAATCATGATTTCAAGGATCGATAGAGCAGTCCTTCACAACACACACAACTATCTCAGATCAGGTCATCCAGACATTTTAATCTGATCCGCGAACTTGTTTGAAGAACCAAATTAGCCAGAGATCAGTTATCAAGATTAACTGATCCAGGATCTGCCAAATCATCTTAGATCATTTAAGCAAGGTACGAAGAACAGACCCCAGGACTTAGAACCTGTAATTTTATTAATAATAAAATAAAGAAGTAATCAGCTAAATAAAAAAAAAGTAAAATAGTCAGTATTGTAAAAAAAATTCTCTGTTATAATACTGTTGCTGATAATGCTAATTGTATAAATCTAACATAATAACAACCCATATTTTTTTGTACTTAATTATTAAAATTATTAAAAAAATAAAAAATAAAATTTTTTTAATTTAAATTAAAAATTAAAATTATTTAAAAGATTAAAAAATAAACCCCACTAAAATCCTCACATTGTGCAACTAACAAAATATGATGTTGATTATATGATTCATTTTACAAATTAAGCAAAAAGGTCAGTATTGAAAGTTGAGGTTGGCAGCATGGTGTATTAGGTAAAATAAATAATGATAACAAAAGGGAACATAATAAAAAAGAATGATGAAATTATAAAAAAATAAAATAAAAGAAAAGGAACATATATTAAACTCAATAGGCTGGGTGTGTGGCATGTTCTTCAAACTTGTGGTTTTATGTCAAGAAGAGTTGTATGCTAGTGCTATATCAGCACTAGTACTCATCTGGAAGGTACAAACTAAAAGTGCCAGATGGTCAACCATTCATTCAACAGTAACTGCTTCAAGTTTCAGAGATTTGACATGCTCCAAGAATGGCAACTAAATATTAGAAAACTTTATCACTGAACCTCGAAGACTATTTTTAATTTTTTAATGTGTCATTTTTGAAGTATTATTCAGTGGCATATTTTTGATGGCTTGTTGTCGCCACTTATTGGTTAAATAATGTAATTGCTGCCTACAACCTTCATTTTTGAGCGTCAACTTAAATGCACATGATGGTGATTTTAATCTTTACCATAAACATCAGTGGTTATATCTAAACTATATACAGTACTTCTGTGTTATTTGACTGTTTGTAACTTCATAACTATCTCAAAAGACTAAAGACTTAATCTCTTTCTTAATTTTTGCGTTTTTCAAACAAAGATTTTAATGCAGCGATTCGAGGAGTTAATGAACATATGCAAATCACCATCATTTATAAATTACTGTATGTTGCCTTTGTGTTGAGATCCAGATTTTTTTTAAATAATTAATTGTGCAGCTTACATTGATTGCATTGATGCAGGCTAAAGATCAGTGACAGAAAAACCTTTAATAACCTAAGCAACCCACCACTTCCCAAATAACATCCCACAACTTCTTCCATCGTCATTATGTTTTACAGGAAAGCCTAAATGTTTGCATTCATGTGATTCTAATGCCGCAAGAGGCGATGTTTCTGCGATTGTTACAAATTTAGAATTAATCTACAAGTAAAAAAAAAATATATAAAAAATCCACGGGTCAAGTATGTTTTAAACCGTGGGTTGTGATCTGTATGAATCACGGATCAACCGTGATCCGTTACACCCCTAGCATAGTCTCATTTATTTTTTTTTCCTCAACCTAATCTAATGTCTTGAACTAGATTGATTCTGATCAGCCTCCATCCCCTTTGACCAATCCCAATTAGACTGAAAATCTATCTATCTAATTTCAATCTGATCCAGATATAAATTTGTCTACAGTTCATTAGTGTTGAGGATCAGATAGTTGAGGAAAAAAATGTTACCGTCACAGAATCTCAATGTCTCCAGTCAGGCCGGCGAGTGGGTACATTCCCCTCATCAATCACTGTCTGGAGCGGGTATTGAGTTCTTCTCACCTCTCCTTTTTCAAACTGTCCCACCGCTCGCAGTTTGTGTTACTTGATCAAGTGAGAGCTAGAATCCCTCACCAGGGGAAGACGCTGAACCCCTCGCCTGTACCTCGCCTGTAGAATGAGGATAAATTGTTTTGTGATAGCGCTCGTGTTCGCGTGATGCTTTTGGGATGGTCCAGACTACAACACAAGAGGTAGACCTGGCAAATAAGTGATGGAGAACAAATACACATTTAGTGGACTGGGAGCTGGAGCTCTCCGAAGTAAAACTTTGAGACATCTGGTCATTGTAAATAAGAGGAACGTGTGTGTTGTGTGTGTTGTTCTCGGATTGATTTCTCATGCTTCATCAGCTTCATTGAGTGGAGGAAATAATTTGAAGAAAGTGGCCAATTATCTTTGCTACAATGAAGATGGAGGAGCAATCAAAGTCTCATCAAAGTGTCATTACATTGCGAGGTGTAGTTTTATAATCGGTTTATATTTACCTGTAATGTGTGTTTGTTGAGGGGAACGCAAACACTTTAGCATGTATTAGTTTTCCCATCAGAGAATAAGTAATCGCAATTTGAAGATTTGTTTCATGCACTAGCAGACAATTGTTTTGATGTTTATTGAGTTTGTTTTAATCATTTTAAGAACAGTTTGGGTGCTTTTAGGGTTGGTTTGGTTGCTCAGTTCGAACCAAGTTCAAGTCAATGGATTCCCCTTGTTGGATTTTGTGTGTGTTTGTGTTTTTTTTTTCTCTGAACCATTGTGTGTTTGCATCATTATAGTGGCATCTGAGCAGCAACCAGTTGCTATGACTCATTTCTTCAAAGATATGTTTGGAAACATTTGATTAAGATATTAAAACTTATGCTTAACAGTTTAAATGTAATTCTATTCTATATTAACAGGGTGTCCGCGGGGTCTTCAAACATCTTAATGTCTCAAATCTCAAAATCTAAATTTCAGGCCTTAAAAAATATAAAATTTACTGAAATATTGTGTTGTAGGTCTTAAATCTTTTTTTAAGCAGGTCTTAATTTTCCTTTGTTCGTGTATTGCTGTTCAATCTGGCCATTGACACCTATACAATCACCAACAATCCCAATCTCAGTAAAACTTTACACTTTTGTTTTAATTTTAATTTTTTTACTTATGTATTTTTTTTACCATTTTTTTACCACAATTTTTTTTTACTATTTATTATTTACCATAATGGTTAAATTATTTTTTCTTACTATAACATTTGTTTAAAAGTGCTCCATGTATTTACTGCTGAGGACATCGACCTGGACAGATTGTTGTGCAGATAGATTTAGTTTATATAGTTTTTAAAACATTTGTTCATCTTAAATATATAAATATATTTTAAATGAAGTTTATGATATGGAAGTGTATTGATATATAGTTGAAGTCAAAATTTATTAACCCCTCGAAATATTAGCCCCCATGTTTATTTTTCCCCCCAATTTCTGTTTAGTGGAGAGAAGATTTTTTTAACACATTTCTAAACATAAAAGTTTTATTAACTCTTTTCTAATAACTGATTTATTTTATTTTTGCCATGATGACAGTACTTAATATTTTACTAGATATTTTTCACTTCTATATACACTTCTATACTAAAGTAACATTTAAAGGCTTAACTAGGTTAATTAGGTTAACTAGGCAGGACAGGGTAATTAGGCAAGTTATTGTATAACGATGGTTTGTTCTGTAGACTATCAAAAAATATATGTATCTTAAAGGGGCTTATAATTTTTGAAAAAAATAAAACTACTTTTATTCTAGCCGAACAATTTTTTTCTCTAGAAGAAAAAATATTATTAGACATACTGTAAAAATTGCCATGCTCTGTTCAACATCAATTGGTAAATATTTAAAAAAAGAAAAAAAAATCTAAGGGGGGCTAATAATTCTGTTATGATTTTAACTGTGAGTAGAGCTTGCTTGTTTTTACAGACTATTTAAAATATTTCGCTAAGAAATATCTCAAATATTTAATTTAAAAT